GATCACCCGTGGGGTCTGCGCAGGGTGGTGCACAAGTATGCGGTTCATCCATATGATCCTGGTCAGCCATTTGCAAATCCCTCGTGGGGTCTACGCCATGCGGGATTAAATGAAAGTCCAAGCAGATCATGTTCCAGTCCCTCAGCGTTCGGGGCCACACAGGGAGGGGCACAAGTACGCGTTTCATCCATATGATCCTGGTCAGCCATTTGCAAATCTCCCGTGTGGTCTATGCCTTGCGGGGTTAAATGCAGTCCGAGCTGATCATGTCCCAGGCCCTCAGCGTTCGGGGCCACATCGTGAGTAGGGACTGTCGTTGGGAGTGTACTCTGGGCAGGGACCATATCCTGTTGCACAGCTGGGGGACAAACGAACATGGAAGGGCATAAGACATGGTGCTGTGGCTGTGTGCAAGCAGCTGGACTGTCTGCAGGAGGCATAGGAGCGGATGTATCCGTTTGGGACAACGGAACCGCAACAACCCGTGGAGGAGGCACAGAGAGAATTGGGGTAGACAAAGAAGCAGGCCGCTGATCCCTGGCCAAGCGGCGATGWTGTGCATGTCGTCGACGATGATACACAATAAGAGGAGTGGCGATGTTTCTAACAGAAGATGTCACTGGCAATGAAGGCGGAACGATGGGAAGAATAGAAACCGGAGAATCGGTTCTCAAACGAGACCGTGGAGGAGATGGGGGTGGCGAAGAGGAACGCAACCGTCTGCGGCCAAGCACAGAAAGGGATGAAAGGGGGTTGGATTCGGCAGGATGTCAGAACATAGGACGCGAGTGTCGGGCTGGGGTAGAGGAAGCTATACCAGTAAAAACTATAGCATGAGAAATTCGAGGTACAGAAGCAGAGGAAGTGGTAAAAAGTGGAACCGCAGCAGAGACAACTGTTGTAGTAGGAACCGCAGCAGAGGCAACTTCCGTAGCAGGGACCGCAGCGGAGGCAACTTCCGTAGCAGAAACTGCTGGAGTGAAACCCGGAGTTGAAACAGCAGCAGTAGAAACTGCAGCAGTGGAGACCACAGCGGCAGCAGCAGTAGAAACTGCAGCAGTGGAGACCACAGCGGTGGAAGCGACAGCGGTGGAAGCGGTGGGAACCGCAACAGTGGGAACTGCATTAGCAGCAGATGAACAAGCAGTGACAAGACGAGCAGCGGAGGCAACTTCCACAGCAGAAACAGCTGGAGTGAAACCCGGAGGTGAAACAGCAGCAGTAGAAACTGCAGCAGTGGAGACCACAGCAGTGGAAGCGGCGGCGGTGGGAACCGCAACAGTGGGAACTGCATTAGCAGCAGATGAACAAGCAGTGACAGGACGAGCGCGATGTGGGGATAAAGAAGAAAGTGGGTGATGCAAGGACCATCGCAGCATGCATCGGAACCACTGAGAGAGACGGGTGACGTGTGTAGGATAGCGACGTTGGTCGTCAAACAGACACGTGTATACCGTCAAACAGACACGTATATACTGTCAAACAGACAGGCCCGCTGGTGCTATGAAACAAAAACACACACAGGCATTAAACCACCAGTACATTTCCCCGCCATTTCTCTACGACACAGCCGTGCTCGCACCGCAAGTTTCACGGGTAGGCCTACCAGAGCAGAAGGGCTCGCAGCACCACGTAAAAGAAGGCCCGCACCAGTTTCTTCACCCGAGCCTAAGCTGAGCTCTTACTGGTGTACGCCGTAAGAGCTTTCCTATTCAGGCCTGAGGCCGTAGTGAAGGCGGAAGGCTTTCCAGTTCGGGGCTGGGCCAGTAGCGAAGCCGGAATGCCCAAGTCCCAGTTGGAGGCTCGCAAGCCTTGGAAGGTAGGTTTGTCAACTTAGGTTCGTGTCAACCAGCGGTTCAAACTGCCAGTACACGGTCCCAGCCTTGCAGAAAACTGCAAGCTGCCGACTCCAAACTTTTCGGGGGCTCGGGACTATCGGACCACAATGGCTGGCGGCGCCAGCCAAAAAAGAAAAGAAGCGTGCCGCAGGCAGTTCAGAAAAGCTTGGCGCGCAGTGCAGCGCCTCCGGGCCCAAGTGTACTGGTAGTTTAAACCACCAGTACTTCCCAGGCACTTTTCTCTCGGGGCTGGAAATGCACTGCACGCCAAAAAAAAATAAGAGCTGGCGTGGGCCTCCTTTCAGCTGGCGGAGCACTTTCTCTGCTCACCCACTGTCCGACCTTTCTCTGAACACAGAGAGAAGCACTTTTTTTCCTTTAAAATTTTGGGCTATTTCTCAGTCTGTGCGTCATCCTGTGCATGGGTCATCCTCAGGCTCTGCACATGCATACATATATGGTGCACACCATTTTATTTCGTTTATTTATTTATTTATTTCCTCGTGCAGGGGCCATTCTGGGACATCTATCACAACACCAAATCACGGTCCACTCTGGTCCCATTTGGGTTTGGCCGCGCCTGAAACTGTTCCAGCTTGGCTGCACCTTTTTACCTTTAACGCCGCCACGGCATGAGTTGGATCCCTCGACGTCAAGACTTCTACGACATGAGGGAGAGAGTCGAACTTGGGCTGCTTCCAACCCTCCTCGATCCCATTCAGCTCCTCCTCCACCCCCTGAATTTTTTTTAACCAGACACAAAACAAATTAAGTTGCAGTTAGATACTCGCAGAGCACAAGGACAGAATACATCTTCAAAACCGCATTGCAATTCGGCGAAAAAGGGGCACTTGTTTTTACATTTCGGCCTCGCTCCACTACTCTCCACATGCACCAAAGACAAAAGATATGACAATGTATCTTTCCATGTTCTAGCGGAGAATTCGGTCTCATTTTGCACATCTGGAGAGTAGTGGGGCGAGACCCTTTCTGGAGGACATGGAAAATGGTCCTTTGAAAAAACGACTAGCGTAGCTCAGTTGGTACACCTATCACCTGTTGAAAAACAGACCTGAGTTCAAATCCCGATGGAAAAAGATGAGTTAAAAATACCTCTGAATTTACTTGGGGCCGGTCAGTTCCAAGCTGACATCTCAAGGCCTTCGCCCTTTTAAAGGATCCAAAAAAAAAAAAAAAAAAAAAGGGGGCGGGGCTTTAATCTGGGCATTATAAAGTAATATAAACCAGACAGAAAATTTGTGTTGCAGTCAGATACGCACACAGGTCAAGGACAGACAAACGCCGCGGTCCCACTAGCAAAGAGGATTGGATAAATAGCCTGAATCAGGTTGTGTTTTAAGCAGAGATGCATAAAAGCAGTTCAATCTCGACTTTCCGCACCTTTCCACAAACAAGCCCAGATTCAGGTGTTCTATCGAATCCTCTTTGCTAGTGAGACCTCGCCCAAGGTGTTGTAAAAGCCGAGTAGCAATTTGGCCCACAAGGGACACTTGTTTTTGCATTTGGAGGACATTGAAAATGGCCATTTACATAATTTAAATTACCCTCGAAGGCTCATTTTGGGGAGAAATCAGGGCCCTCGATTTCTGCACATGATGAGGGTCCTGACGATTAAACTGTAACATTCGCGGATCAGATAAATTTAAAACACATATTGATTTTCCCAAAGAAAAAGCCACTGCACTGACAATTTTCACGGAAAGAAATAAAATTTCAAAAACTTGAAAAATTCAAAAAAAAAAAAAAGGTCGGCTTTAACATGGTCCATTCATAGGATATTCATTTTTGCAAACGAACTTAACTGTACTGATAATCTCATCTGTAAAAAAAAAAAAAAAAAAAAAAACTAGGGTGTCTTTCTCATACACCCGGGCACCCAACTTGTGCCCGGAGACATTCCCGGGCAGGCATGACCATTGGGCAAATCGCAATGCAAACGACTTTTGGCTGAGGGTCACATCAGCATTCTTCATTGAATCCAAGATTTAAAAAAAAAAAAAATTCAGACTAAGGCACCCCCCTTTTTCACCTTTAGCAACTTTTTAAACCGAGTTATACCCCTCTCCCCCCCCCCCCCCCCCCCCCTTGCCAGCCATTACTGAAAAATAGGAAAAAGCCCAGATTGGGGCTCCTCTAGGGATGCGCGGAAAACCCCATCCACCCATAAAAAAAATAAAAAAAAAACAGTTATTCCCACGTCTGGGTACCCCGGGCGTCAGACTCCCACGTAGCCCTAGGTCTTAACCCAACTGCAGTTTTAACATCCAAGCCAATCCCATTCTGCATAACACACACTGTTTGTTTGTTTTTTTCCCTCTGCTTAAAGCACACTGTTGATCCCTCCAGTGTAAAGACGATCTAACACACACACCTAGACTTAGACAAGAATTTTGCAACAATTTTTGAAAGCATGCCAGCGGCGTGTCTGGAGTGCATTTTTTGGCTGTGATAGACCTTTCTTTGTTTCGTGGGTGTTTTGCTGGCTTGTGATGGGGTGTGAACCGACAGTCTGTAGAGTTTTCCATCTGGTGTGGGTGAGTGATAGTGTGCTTTTTTTTTCTTTTTTCTTTTCT